CACACACACACACACACACACACACACACACACACACACACACACACGAGGCCACCAGGATAAGGGAGGAGCTGAAGCCACTAGCTCAGGAATGTTCAGCTGAGGAGAGGAGGGGCTGGGATTCCTGTGAACTTGAAGCCAGTGTTCAGGTCCTTGAAGCAGCCGATCTTTCCTGTCTCATCATCATGTGGCCAATGGGACTCAGCAGATCTGTGTCACAGCCAGAGAGACACAGAGGGACTTGTACTTGGACCTTTCCTCTCATTGGACAGGGAACTTTCTGATGCCAGGGAAGAGATGAGGTCATCGGTGGATTCAGGATGGAGCTTAGCATGGGTGCATGGATGTGGGAAGCAAACCTCAGAACATCAGGGAGGAAAGGAGAAGGGACCCAGGAGGGAGACAGCTGTGGCTGCTGTGGCCTTTAGGACTGTCTCACAGCAGACTGGCTTGGCCTTGTCTCTCATTTGTTAGATCTGTTACTGAATGGGGGGAACTCAGGTAGGGTTATGTGCACCTTCAACCGGCTAAGACCCCTGTCCATTCCTAAAAGTCCCGATGGCCATCTTTCCAACATGGGAATGCACTGTCCCTTCTTCTGAGGGGTTCCAGGTGGCCAGTCATGGTGCCCACCCTGAGGGCTCATTTGCATCTGCTTCCAAGTAGCAGTGCGGGCTCATGACATGATCATGTGTTTTCTGTTACAGACCGAAGTTCCTGTGCCACAATAACAGGTTAGTTATTTTTCTTTGTTGTTTTTGTTTGTTTAGATGTGGGCTTTAGCTATGTAGACCAGGCTGACCTGGAGCTCACTATCCTCCTGCCTCGGGGTTGGAATGACTGCAGTGTAGGCCTGATGCACTCTGCCTTTCTTCTTCCACAGGTGAACGAGAATGGGGCATTCATCTCCTGGGAGCACAGCAGCATCTGCCCAGAAGGGTCCGGAGTCAGGGGATGTGCAGGCTTTGACAAGAGAGGGCAGGATGCTGCCCAAGGCCCCAGGGAGGGAGTGTCCAAGCTGGGATCAGACTCCAGGCTTCTGACCCCGGCCCACCCACCCTTCCATCCTGTCCCATCACAGACAGCCTTCCTCACGGCCTGCTTCATCTGCCTTATCCTCTACCAGTGTCCTCTGTGGGACAAGAGATTCAGAAGGGGAGGGAGAACTCAAGCTTGACTTCTGTCTGTATATGTAATGGGAATATCTGTCCAGTGTCTGATCAATGACAATAAACCACAGCAGATGCCATGAGGGTGTGTGAGACGAGCCAGGGAAGTACAGCTCTCTCTCTCTCTCTCTCTCTCTCTCTCTCTCTCTCTCTCTCTCTCCCCATGGTTCAGTTAGATGCATTTGTTGAGCACATACTACATGGTCCAGGGGTCCAGGCACTGAGCACTCATCAGTGGACAGAGCAGAACCAATCCACGACAGCGATGATGCCACATGGTTTGGGATCCTTCCAGGTTTCTTACATGTAAATTCAAGACAGCGTCCTTGGTTCCTTCTGTCCATGTCCCCAAGACAAGACAAGACCTGCCCCATCTACTCAGAAACTGCTCTGCAGCTGCACATGGCTACGGGGACCTGGGAGTGTGAGCAGTACACTTGAAGATGCAAGGTGGTTGCAGCATGCAGGCTGGGGTTTGAAGAGGTGCATGACAAAAATGAGCTGAATTTGCAACATTGGTGGTAACAAAAACAGACACATAGTTGTCTATGGTGACAATGAATTTTTGATGCACTGAATTAAATCACAATGGATGTCTGCTTCCTTTTTCTCTTTCTGAGACAAGACCTCATTATGTGGCGTAGTCTGACCTGGAACTCATAGGCATCCTCCTGCCTGAGTCTCCCAAGCTGTGGAATCACACACACACACACACACACACACACACACACACACACAGACACAGACACACAGACACACACACACCCTCCACACAGAGACCTAATGGTTCCATAGGTCATTGTTGTGAACCAGTGGCTTGTTTGTCAGATCCAAAGACAACCATGTGACCTCAACTCTTGTACCCTGCTTTCTTAAGAGTTCAGGGCATTGCACAGGGCACCTGCTCCCAAAGCCTGCTCCTGTCCCCAGTGCCCACTCTCTTAATAACTGTGTGTGTGTGTGTGTGTGTGTGTGTGTGTGTGTGTGTGTCCTTCCAGCTCTTGTTCATTCAGTTCTTGCTCTAATAGCCCTGAGAACCAGGAGCCCCAGTGTCCCGGAGTGTGAGAAGATGCATGTCCCCTAGACCTCAGAACAAATCACACTCTGCATTGTGCTCTAGCTGAGCCCCTGGTGACCCAGATGATGCTGTCTGCTATTTCAGTCTTGCCTTTTCTGAAACACCCCCAGATACACAGAGAAGGTTTTTAACAATCTAATGCCCAGGGGTCCCTCATATATCCTGTCAACCTGAGGGGAACCATCACGTACCTTACACTATAAAGCAAGTCTACACGTGATATATAATGGTCACAACCCCTGTCTCTATGATGGAATGACCCTTCCCAATGATAAGGACCACGGAGGCTAACAGCAGGCAACAGGAATGAGTGTTGAGTTGTCATTGGGAGGAGCCATAGGGTGGCTGGGTTAGATTTCCATGACAACAGGATGACTGAAGATTATCTCTCAGATGGAGTAAGATGACTACATCTGACACTTTCATATCACCGTGACAGCCATGCAGAGCAATATCATACTGGCTCCAGACTGGACCTGCCCAAGAGCCCTTTGGCCCTAAGCACGGTGCTCATCCATATTCTGCGGGTGCCATCATGGTTCTGACTTAGCATTCACCCTGGCCAGGGGAATGGCAAGGCTTGATGGCAGACACTTTGGGTTGTCAAACCCATTCTTCAACTTTAATCTTCTGACTAAGGTTGGTAACTCCCTCCTCCCCAGGGCCCACCCACTGAGTAAGGAGTGTGTGTCCATTGGGGGGAGCATGGCTCTGTCTACCATTTGACCACAGGGTTCGGTTCCCCAGGAAGCCACTTCATCTACACTCAATGGGTTCAACTCTGAAACTCAATTCATGTCAGGAACTGGGGGTGTGGGGAGGGAAGCTGCTGTGGCAGCCACTGCCTTCACCTTCTAGCTGTCTCTTGTGGTTCCTTCTAATGGCCCACAATGGCTCATCTTCATGACCAACTTCACCAGTCTTAGACCCTCTATGGAAACACCTTTGGGCATGTTGAGGGCGTTTATAGAAATGTCTGCTGACTGCTTCCTTCACTCCACAGCCTGCTGTCAGAGCTCCTCCCCATCTGTGGTGTTCCCTCTGGAGTCACATGGCCTGAACGATGTTTGAGAAGACCAGCTATCAGAATGGCTAAGTGGCTTCTGACCAGGTTACCAAGAACACATAACGGGGAAGAAGCACTCTTCTGCAGAGGGAATTGGGAAAGCTGGATCTCCATTGATAGGAATAAATTCCACTCTCACCTTGGCCATCCAAAACGGAAGCAGAGAATCCCTAGAAAACACAGAATATCTTAGCCATGATGATCTTGGCTGTTTTCTTGGCTCTGACATCAAACCCACAGACAACTCAGGATGATTCTTTTATGTCAGGCCTCATGCATGCGGGGTAAGCACTCTGCCACTGAGCCACACCCATGGTCTCTCACTGGAACACTCTAGACAAGTCCTTCCCAGCTAAGCCACACCCTTGTTGCCTTTCTTCTCTCACACAAGGAAGCCATTCCTTCATGGAGACATGTCTCCTGTGGACTTGCTTTAGTGTAGAATGCAAGATGCGTGATAACATGGTTGCTCTCAGCTTGGTAGGAGACATGGGAGACCCCTGGGCGTTGTTGATTCAAACCTTTGTGTATCTGGGGGTGTTTAAAAAGGGGCAAGACTGGAATCATAGGCAGCATCATCTGATTGTGACCATGTCTTGGTTCTTCCATTTCTTCTGGTGTGGGAGAATTTTCTGTATTCTGTCAATCATGTATTTTAATAAAACGCTGATTGGCCAGGCAAGAAGTATAGGCGGGTCAACCAGACAGGAAGTAGAGGTGGGGCAATGAGAATAGGAGAAGGCTAGGGAGGAGGAAGCCCCCTCCATCATTCCTGCCCAGACCACCGAAGAAACAACATGTGAGCTGACAGCTGAAAAAGGTACCAAGCCATATGCCTAATGTAGATAAGGATAATGGAGTGATATATGTTATAAGGGCTAATAAGTAGACTGAGCTAATGGGCCAATCAGTTTATAACCTAATGTAGACTCGGTGTGATTTTCTTTGGGACTTGCCAGCTGTTGGGTACTGGGTGGGACAGATACCCCAACAAGCCGGCCTTCATGTTACATTCTTTCATCTTGGAATAAAGAAGTATTTAACTTGTGTTTTTAATGTTATAGGAGCCCACAGTTGAGAGACTAATCTTTATAAGTGTTGAAATTAAAAAGAATAAAACACTTTGGGACTTTTAAAGCTAAGTTGTGTTTTATGATGTGATATTGCCTTGAGATCTTAGGGATAAGTAAGAAAGAAAGGTTATGGTTTAATAGTAATGTTTGAGTATCCAATTGAAAGGGGGCTTATTTGTGAAGGTTAGTTTTTGTCAATTAGGCATCAGATAGGGTCATCTAGTAGGAGGGAACCTTAATCAAGAAAATGACTCTATCATACTTAGTACGGGTGGTCTTTGTGGGTACGTCACTGTAGTGATTGATGTGGCTAGTGCCGTGCCTGGGCAGGAGGCCATGGGTTGTATTAGGAGCAAGCTCAGGGACCATGGAGAGCAAGCCAGGGAGAAGAATTCCTCCATGTTCTCTGCTTCAGGTACTGACCGTTCTTCCCTCAGTGAAGGACTGTGACTGGGATGTATAACCTAATAAGACCTTTTCTTCCCAGGAGAGTTTTGGTCATGTGATAAAGATATCCTGTCAGAAGAAAGCAAACTAGAACACCCTTTCTATCCTCTGACTGTATTCAGTCGCTGTATAGACGGGGCTCACAGTGGATGGGCCAGACGCCATACTAGCTGGTACCAGTGCTTGACCAGGCAGATGAGACTCTTCAGCTTGAGTGCTCAATCCATCAGGAAGTTATGCTGGAGCTCTGTGAAGCAGGTGGAAAACTTGCCCTACAGTCCCAAGGAGGTGCACTTCCTGATGAAATTGGTGTAAATTTCAGGGTCAGGCCTGTGATTGTTTCTGACATGACCTACCGCGCCAGCACGGTCTGGAACCACGAGTCTCGGCGGAGGGTGTCCAGGTTGAATGAAATCCACAGAGCACGAGGTTGAGGTGAAACAGCAGCTTGTTTATTGTTCTGCTGGGGCTACCTTTTATACCATGGCACCAAATGGGGAAGGGGCTGCGAAGGGACTGT